TCTAGATTTATTAATCATGTCTTGCACTATGAGCACAATCTTTGCTGTTATCTGAGTAATTATTTCTGATTTCATTTTTCCCAGCTCCTCTCTTGTTGCCAGTTCAGAGAGTCCAGGTGGTTGAGTATCAGATTGCTCCATCTCGTTTCCCTTTGGGGTTGCTGTAGGTGATCCAGAAGTCTGTTTTTGAGGCTTGTCTACATGTCTTCTCATTTCCACGGGGCGGGGCGGGGGAGGCAGTACATCTTGCGCCCTCATGGCTCACCTTCTCTGCTCTAGGAGTGTGGAATGGCAGCGGGGGAGCCTCATTCCGGGTCCTAGGATTGGCTCACCTTTAGAAATGTTTCACTATAAACTATAGGCAGCCCATCTTGAATTTTTTTCAAACCATTGGAGAGCTTACTATTAGAACCAATATTACGTGCAAAAAAGACAGAGCGGGAATGTAGTATGTTCTATATAAATGATAGCTGGATGCTTTCCCCCTAATGCAGCAGTTGAAATTTCAGTTAGACAGACTTTTTTGAATTTAAATTTTTTCTAGTAATTGACTTTTCCAGCAAAGTCAAAGTCAGTTGGTAGCATCCTAAATGTTTTCTATAGCAATTACTGCTCTCATATCAGAACACCAGAGTATTTGTGATGAGGAAGCAAATTTGAGATGTTCTGAATTTGTTTTGTTTTGTTCCTTACTGCCACTGTTAGGCTAGTTTTAGTTTCTGATTATTAATCTTCTGAACTAAAGGTGGGCCAACGTAGACCCTTGTTAAACTGCCCAATGTTGACATATTCTTTTCTTTTATGTGTTTCTGTTTAAGGGGCAGGGGAGAAGGGAGGACAATGATAGGTATAGCAAAAGTGAGATGAAAGTAGATCTCATTCATTCATTCTGTAACAGATTTTTTTTTAAGGTATTGGGTATCAAACCACGTGCTAGACAAGCACTCTACCACTGAGCTACATCTTCAGTCCTCATTCTGTAACAGATGTTAGTTAAATACCTTCTGTATTCTGAGCATTGTTCTTGATTCTGTGGATACAACAGTGAACAAGACAGGCAAGGGGAAAGGAAAGAAACTTCCTTAGGAGCCAGAAAAGGGGAACAAATATAAAACTGAAAAGTGACTTGGTGGGAATGGCCTGGGGAAAGAATTTAAGTCCTCAGAGGCCTCACTCAGATTTTACTGTTGAACTAAAACCTGGATTATAAAAAATTTCTATCCTTATGAAAATCTGGGCAAAAGAGATTCCAGGCAGAGAAAATTGCCAGGGCAATAGCCTTCAGTTAGGAGTGAATTTGGTAAGTACAGAAACAACAGAGAAAAGGCCCATGCCTGGAGCTAGAGAACAAGGAGGGAGGAGTGGCTCAAGATGAGGCTGGAGGGGAAGCCAGCGCCCTCAGGTCATGAAAGGTTTGGTGGGCCCTGGGAAGGATTCTGGATTTTATTATGAGCACACTGGAAACCTTAGGCTTTACACTGAACAGTGATGTGCTCTTAAGGAGTTTTATCTGGCAGTAAGGAGAGCCGAGTGATAGGAGCAAGAGTGGTTACAGGAAGACCAGCCAGGTTACTGAAGTGGCTCAGTCTGAGAGGTAATAGCTTGGACTAGGATGGTAATAACAAGGCCCTGTTGTAAGTAATTTTTTCTGACTTCCTGTATGCTTTTTCAGTGCAGTCTTTAGGGTTAATTAGCTTTATATTTGAATTCAAATAAAGTAACATTTTGAACTAGCATACAGTTTATGATTTCTATGAACCATTTTTTTAAAATTACTGAAATTTTTGATGAGTACTGACTTAAGAACATCTAATTTCTTTTTGGCTTATTTCTGTGTACTCATTCTATCAAAATTTATAGTATGTAAGCAGGTGTTTGCCAAAAGTTGTATATAGTTGTTTATTAGGATATTTACTGTTTTATTACAAAAACACTACTGCAGAAAAAAACAACAAAATATAAAGAAAAAATAGCATGTGATCTCACTATCCAGATAAACATTTGTTTCTTTTCAGTCATTTTTTTAATGGACAGATATTTCCAAATAGTTACTATTTTTTATTTTTTTTGGTACTGGGGATCAAACTCGGGTCATTGCACTTGCGCAGCAGGCAACGAAACCACTGAGCTAAATCCCCAGCCCTGGTTACTATTTTTTAAAGAAGTAAATTTTCCAAAAAGTTTTTGTACAAGTCAGTAGGTAAGTGGTTTGTTTCATTTACAGTGGACCCTTGACTTACAAACTTGATCGGTTCCTGAGGGCTGGTTGTACCTCAAGTTGGTTGTAAGACAATACAGCTGAGATCTGAATGTTTACCTGGGTACATGTTATAGATAACAAGAGGCAGATGAATCTTCCATTAACCAAATTAACCCAAGTTGTTCATATGTCAAGCTGGTCATAACTTGAGGATCCACTGTACTTTTTCAAAGCATTCTTTAAGGTGTTGGGTCAGTTCCTTATTTTCTTCATTTCAATAGCTGCTGTCATTAGTTGAAAAGCCAACTTTTCCTTAGGTATTTATTACTCTTTGATTGCCTTGTCTGTGTTCTTAGCCACATTTGTAATACTGTGCTTAAAATGTTAATCAAGGTAAAGTCAGATTAATCTGAGAGTTCAATTTTTTTTTTTTTGCCTTGTCTTTGTCTCAGAGCTGTAACTTGGTAAATTTTGGCAGAATTCACCATTATAATTTTCAAGTAATATCAATTAAATGTCAGTTTGCTAATTAATTTAGATTGCTTCTAAGATTATTGTGATTTATTTCAGCTGATAGCACTAGCTTTTGGGGTTTTGTTTTGTTTTGTTTTCATTTTTTTTTTAAGACAAGGTCTTGTTATCTAGTCCAGAGTTCGGGCTAGCCTTGAACCGTGCTGTGTAGCCCAGGCTGACCTCCAACTCCTGATCCTCCTGCCTCACCCCCCACAGTGCTGGGATTATAGGATTATATTAGCCACATCTATTATCTTCTAAATATTAGAAATCTTCTAAAATTTTTTGGCACTAATTTGATCTTAGCTATAAAAGCATGTTAGGGAAAATAGAAATTCCTTTTGAAATGTATTTGTCCTGAAGGCAGGCTAAAATGTAATAATGATTCTTGATTATTTTGCAGACCTCCAAGGAAGATCTTCTACAAGCTGATTTTGAAGGTGCTTTAAAGTTCTTCAGAGTTCAGCTTCCAAAGAGATACAGGGCAGAGGAAAATGCAAGAAGATTGATGGAGCAGGCTTGCAATATTAAAGTAAGATATACGAATTTATATATGATAAAGGTATAATTTGAATGCAGAGTATTATGTGAAACTCCTCTTTTGTATATGTTGCAGGGTTTTGACAATGTTTAAACTAACAATTTTGTATAAACTAGTCTCTTCCAGACTATTTGCTATGCTTTCTACTAGGATTTACAGTAAAAATTGACAGGTTCAGATTGTAACTGGAGCAAGTCAAATATTTATCTAATAGGTAGGGGTCTAGAAAGGGTTGCTGTGCTAGTGGTTTCCAGGACAGCAGACTTAGTATTTAGCTTTTGCCATCTGTTTTAAGATTATTTAGGACAAAGCAAGAAAAGTCAGATTAAGCAATGCTTTCATTTCTCTAAACAACTTGGAAAATTTGAGTCTTGATTCTTATCCCACACCTGCCACATGTGTGTCGATACATTGGTCTATGTCACATGTCTGATAAAACTAAATAAATTTTATAATTTAATTTTAAACTGAAAACTATCTGGAAAGTTTTAGTATTGAGAGAGCACAGTAGGGGAAACCAAGTGGTTTCAAATAGTGGAAACCAAGTGGGTGTGGTGGTGCATGCCTGTAATCTCAGCATGAGGGAGGCTGAGGCAGGGGAATCACTACAAGTTTGAGGCCAGCCTGTGGCTACATAGTGAGTTTAAGGCCAGCCTGAACTATGTAGCGAGACTGTGTTTTTTTTAAAAAAACAAAAAATAGTAGTTGAAACCAATTTATTAATATTAATTCTTATATCTCTGGAATATACTAGGGGATCTTCTTATCTAACCATGACACAAATATAAATTTGTTTCATAAACAGATGGATAGACAAGTTTTATGGACCTTATATTTCTTGCAGATAAAAAACCCAATAAAACAACATAATTTATTTAATAATGAAATGGTGATGAATAGCTGTGAAAAAGAAAAAAAAGGGAAGAGATTGGATTGGTAGTGGAATGGAAGGTTGTGACTCTTGTTAGACAGGTTAGACCTCACTGAGAACATGACTGAGTCACAGGGTTATTCATGGAGACCTCTGGGTTAAGGACATTCCAGCAGATACAACAGCCAGTTCAAAGGCCCTGAGACTTGCTTGTGCCTGGTGAGTTTGAGCAAGAAGGCTAATGTAGCTAGAATGAAGTGAATTAAATCAGAGTAGTAGGAAAGGGAGTTAGAGTGGTTACAAGGAACCAGAAATTGTGGCTGATTGTGATTTAGGCTTTGCTTTGAAGTGGGGGGCCTTGCCGGATTTTGAGGAGAATAGTTTTCAATTTTAATCTATCTTAAAGTAAACTACAAATGTTAGCATAATTCAATGCTGAAAATAAATAACTTTCAGGAAAATAATAGTCTTTCAAATGAACCTTACATTCAAAAAGATCATTTTCCAAGTATGTCAGGAAAAACAGGCCTTTTCAGTCTTCATCCTGAATTATAAACCTTTAAAGCCTTTGAGACCTATTATTTTATTTGGCAGGGCCAACGTCTAAGCCTAAGCCATTCTGAAAGTGTACTGCAGTAGACATGTTGCCTGTGATTGAATTTGTAGGAGGTAAGTTGGAAATTAGGCTTCACCCACTGCTTGTTCCAAAGATGCCAGGGAGGCCTCAACTAAGCTAAAATCAGAAAATATGTTGACCCATCAGACATTACTGTAGTCACTTGGTTGTTTAGTTAAGACCTAAGTGAAAGATGGTTAAAGCACATTTTTCCAGGGAGTCAGCTTTTTATCGAGTATCATTGTTCAGTTTTCACCGTTAGTTAAAAATTCTATTACAGAGCTTCTCAAATTTAGATTTTGGCTTTAAAGATTCTGAATCACCAGGTATTTGAATTTCTTTGTATGACCATATGAACATTTTGTTTTTCCTGGTAAGACAACATATAAGCTTTCATTGGATTCTGAAAGGAAAATCAGTGACTCAGAAAAGCTGGCCTCTATACTGTGGGACAAATCTTAAAATGGTCAAGCAGGGCAGGGGATTTAGCTCAGTGGTGCTGCCGCCTGCCTTGCAAGCACAAGGTCCTGAGTTAGATCCCTGGTACTAAAAAAGAAAATTGTCAAGCAAACTGAACATTTAAAGAATATTAGAGGAGGGCCAGGGATTTAGCTCAGTGGTGCTGCCACCTGCCTCTCAAGTGCAAGGTCCTGAGTTCGATCCCCAGTAAAAAAAAAAGAATATTAGAAGTTATAAATGGGACCTATACACACTCAAGCGCATATAATTCTTGATCTGATTGCCTGATTTTCTGCATATTTCTATATTCTGTGTATTTTTATTTAATATCATTTATATTTTGGTTGGATTTATAAATTAACAGTCTTACTTGTCAAAAACTATCAGTCTTGGCCAGGGATTTAGCTCAGTGGTGCCACTTCCTGCCTCACAAGCACAAGGTCCTGAGTTTGATCCCCAGTACCAAAAAAAAAAACCAAACACAACTATCAGTCTTTAGGTGTTGTATGTGATTTAATTCAATGTTATATACTTCCTTAAAATTCAAATCAGTGCTAGGTATATAGATGATGGAATATTAAAAATTTGAATCTTTCAAACATATTTAATTCATCTAGCTGACATTGCTCTGATAAAAAACAAAAAGATGAATAAGATATAAAAAAGATATAAAAAGATGTATAAGATGATAAATAAGAGTGAAGCATTTATAGTTTAGAGCTGTGATGGTGAACCTTTTAGAGCTTTCAGTGATCACTAACAGCTTGTTGTGGCATGCATGCCATAGATTCTCCACCATTGGTTTAGAGTATTATATATGCCTAGGTTTTATAGCCATGTAAACCTTTTCTGAGAGTTACTTTCCAAAGCAAGTCTTTTTGATGCCTCATTTATAATGGACTTTACTATAATAGAAAGTTTATAATTTCTACATTATAAATTTTAAATTTTAAATTTCTACATTTTTGATACATTATCCCAAATAGTCTATTGATAGATCTTCATAATAGAATATTTTGAAATATAAATTACTCTATTTAATTTGTATTTTATTAGTAAAATAACTTGAGCTAAATTAAAACTGCAAAGTCTAACATTTCCCTAAACTTAATAATTTGTTTAAGGAAGATCATTTATTGTGCGCCTGTTTTGTGCCAAGAACTATCTAGAGGAAGTAAGTGCTAAGATGAGACCTGAAGGATTATTTAGAGTGAGTACAGGCAGGCAGAAGGATGGTCCATGCAGAAAATATGTGGAAACCCATAAGTAAGAAAATACGAAGTCTAAGACTTCAATTTAGGTTGGAGATTAGGGTGTGCAGAGCAAGAGGGAGTAAGGAGAGTACATAGATTAGAGAGGTAAGCAGGAACCAGCTGTGAGGAGCTGTGTAATCAGTGGCAGGCAGTTTGGATTTATCCTGGGGTGGGGGATTATAGGCACTGAGAGGCTTTGTGTAGACGTCAGAAGTGATCAGATGTATGTTTTAGGAAGGTTATTCTGGCTGCTATGGGACAATGGGTTGGAAGATATACAAGATATTAGTGACAGACCATTTTGGGCACTGTTGCAGTAATCTTAGGTGAGGAATGACCAGAATATTTGCTATGGGGTGGAGAGAGATGGATGAAAAGTATTCAAGAGATAGAATCAACAGATCTTAGTGATTACCAGAGAACATGAAGACAGAGGGAAAGAACCAGTGATAACATTCAGCATTCTACTTAGGCAGTTTGACAGTGATCACATTGAGAAAGGAAATGGACAAAGAAGAACACATTACTTGATGGAATGAGTTAAATTTTGGATATGTTAAGTTTATGGTACATAACCACAAACTCATATAATACCCTCTGCAGATGGATGCCTCATAAAACCTGGGAGAAATGTAGACATTTGAAAGTGATCAGTATTGAAACCATGAGAGCGAGTGTGTTCTTATAGAGGAGCACCTAAAATTAGCAGAGAAAAAAGTTAGAGAGAGACACCTTGACATATATTACATGGGCTAAGTAGAAGCTGTTAGGACTAAGAAGGCAGAGCAAAAGAAACCCAGAAGAATATGAAATGTGAATACTAAAGGAAAGGTATTTGTTTTCAAAAAGAAAGAAGTGTGTGAGGCACTGGAAGAAACAAAAGAAAAAATGGGATAAAATAAAATTTATTAAATAAAAAAAATCTTTTAAAAAATGGAGGAGGAAAAGGAAGAAGGTGGACAAGTGTCATTGGTGCCTGAAGCAGTGTAAGGTATGCAGGAGTGGAAAGTGGAATGTCTTCGATAGTCTTAGTGACAGCATTTTCAGTGGAGTAATGAAGTGTAAGAGCCAATGATTAAACGAATAAGTAGGTGAATAAATGGAGACATAAAAAAGAGACAATTTTTCTAAAAGATTAGCAGGAGGAGAGGATAAAAAATGGAAGAGAAAGCCAGCAAGGTAGATGATAAATGTGAGGGAGGGAAAGAGAGGGAGGCAGGCATGAGGCTAAAATGAATTTCTGGATGATAGGAAAAATGAGTCTTTAAATGCTTAAAAAATTAATACAACTTAATTTCTTCATTGAGCACTTACTATATATCCGGGACTGTGCTAAATCCAGGGAATACAGAGTTGAGCAAAAGCAGAAATGTTCTTTGAGCTCAGAATTTGTAATGCTGTCAGAAAGATGTTAATTAGGTAACCACAGTAATAAATGCATATTTACAGTGACATAAATATTCAAAAGAGATACAATAAGGATATATGAGAGCAAAGAACAAAGGAACCTGATTTTGACTAATGATTTTTTCATTCAGTTCAAATCCTTCTTGAACTGAGAAGATGAGGCATTCCAGACTGAGGGAGCAGCATGTGCAAACTGGTGAGAAAGGAGAGTGTACAGTAAGTTTTAGGAAGTAGGAGAAGGCCAGTGTGGTTTTAGAGTAATGAGGGATGATGCCCACAGGCCAGATCATTTTCATCTGTCAGTAAGAAGGAAAGGCCCATACAAAGAGAAAACATGAAGATTGAAGAAATATATAATAGAGAGAGACCTCTGAGGAGGTAGAGG